ACAGTAACCTAAGAAAAGTGGAACCTGTGTGAGGTAGAAGCTTGTCAGAGATAAAAAGCTCTTAATATTTTCTCGTGACTCAGAGTGATAGAAAAGTGCTAAGACTGCAGCCTGTCAAAGGGGGAAACACGTGGAAGACCCAGCAAGGTAGGGCAGGCGCGCCTCAAACCGGCTCTCACAGGTGCCAGCGCATTCCTCCTGCTGGCACACGGTAAGGCTCCGAGGACAAGGGGGACGAAAGGGCCCATTCCCATAGGAATCGTTTCTGAAGTCTCTATGCCAAGTCTGGTTGTTTCTGGAGGGCAAGTGGTTATGTGACTACTAAGCAAAAGATTCACAGAGGCGCCTGAGAAGAAAGGCCAGGTGACCTGCCTTGGAGGGCCACACAGCCTTGAGAAGCCTTCAGAAGCCAATCCGCTCTGCACAGGTGGGGTTGCCACGAGGCAGACTCGACTTGATGCCCTAGGTCTGGTTTTAGTCTCCTCGGGCCATTTCACTGTGAAATCTCTTCGTGGATTAACCAAGCACCTCCTCTGGTCTCTCAGGATGGAGATCAAACAGTCACACTTTGGTAGCGCAGGGTCACCACAGGGCCATGGTTGACCAGAGGCGATGAGCGTCCCCTGACTTCCTAGATGAGGGTACACAGCTCAGAGGGTGCTCAGAGCCAAAGGGAGTATCCCTGTCAGCAGAGCTGGCCTCACCAAGAATCGAAGGGGAGGGGGGAGTCTGAAGACAGGGCTCAACGTGTCCAGCCTTGTGCCCAGGGCAACAGACCCTGCCATTTTCCTCTCTCCTATATGGGACACGTTGGGAGCCCTGGTGACATCGTGGTTACACGTTGGACTAAGAGCTGCAAGGACAGCAGTTCAAAAGCACCAGAAGCTTTCTACTCCTGTATAAACTAGTCTCGGAAACTCACAGGGGCAGTTCCACCTTGTCCAATAGAGTTGCTATGAGTCAGCATTGATCGATGGCAGTGAATCTGAATTTGAAAGGACATGGTAGAATTACCCTGTGCGTGTCTGAGACTGCAACTCTTCATATGGAGTTGCTGGTGGAGCAGTTGCTCTATGGAGCAGCTGGTGGTTTTGAACTGCTGACCTTGAGGTTAGCAACCCAAGACTTAACCATTATGCCACCAGGCCAGTGGAACATTCTTTACGCTTCATCCTCGAAGAAGACAGTGCTTATTTTGTAAACACTTTGAGCACTGATCATGATATTCCTTACATGTTCTTTAGAATCGTATCCAATACACCTTTCTTCTGTCACGTAAGTCACCATTGTAAGTCACACCTGTCCAGTGAGTCCCAGAAACCTGGCCAGTGCTACCAGAATAAGCCAAACCCTTAGTTTTAGTTAATTCAAATTCATTTACATTTAAATTGGCCACCAGCTACCATGCTGAACCACACCCTGGTTATTCTTCTCTGGCTGTCATAAATGGCCTCAAAATCTTTGAGAGGAACATAGGCTACCAGGATTAAGATCACAATGTGAATGAACCTTAACAGAGAGAGGTCACTTGCAAAACAATGACATTTTAAAAAGGTACCCATTCCACCGAGTTCAGGGTGGGGTCAGTGGCAAGGGAATGCCTCCCACCCTGAAAGCACCTAAGAGAGTTAGGCGGGAGTCGGAAGAAAGTTCGAGGTCCAAAGGACTTAGAGACCCCAGGCCGTGGGAATCCAGAGACATGAGATGGGTGGCCGAGCGGAGGTTTGCGGTTGAAAGCAGCCTCCCAGGTGGGAAAATCAATGGGATTTCAAGTTTGTGCCAAGTTCAGCACAAAAGCCAGGATTCCGGTCCTGCAGCCATGTCTCTGACCTGCTCAGGAACCTGACCACCAGCAAGCGGGGCCGGTCATGCCCGTGAGGGCTGGGGACACAAGGATGTTCTGAGGCAGATCTTACTGTAAAGGAAACAAACGCTGGCCGTGACCCGATCGTAAGTACACTGAGGGCAGCTGGAAGGCCCCACGCAGGGGCATGCCTGGTAGGATGGCTGAACCAAGTGAGGTGGGACGCCAATGTCTGCTCCTTTCACAAGCCGGGAGCTCCCTGCCCCGCACCTGTGTACACATCTTGACAAGATCTAAGTTAAACTTGGGCAGGAGTTCACAGACATCCGTGCTGGGGGACCAAAACGCAAGCTCTGTACAGTGTCTACATGGACAGTGCAGCCCTCCTTCCACAGTGGACACACCACCAGGAGTCCTTGGCAACCTTTCCAAAGCATTGTGTGAGTCCCAGGGAAGAGTAAAAGGAGGGTGTGTAGTTTGGGGGCTGGGGTGTGCTCAGATCTGGCTCCAACATTTGCACCAGCCGCAAGGGGACAGGTGCCTCTTATGAGAATATGGCAAGAGAAAGTGCAGATCCTACTGATGTGAGGTTGAGGTAAGACTGGTCACTGAGCTCAGGGCACCCCTGAGCTCCCCCAAACCCAACCCATTGCTACGGAGCCAATTCCAACTCATAGTGACTCTTTGAAACAGAACAGAACTGTCCCCCAGAGACTTCCCCAGCCTTAGTTTTCGTCGAGGAGGGCCCTGGTTACGTGTTGGGCTGTGATCTGTAAGGTCTGAAGTTGGAGACCACCAGCTGCTCCGTGGGAGAAAGACGAGGCTTTCTACTCCCGTAAAGAGTTACCGGGCCTCGGAAACCCTGTCCTAGGGTCACGATGAGTCGTCACTGACTTTAGGGAAGCAGACGCAACCTGCTTTGAAGTAAAGCGTGTTTACTGAGGAGGCTGGAGCGTTTGCATAGGGGCAGGTGTGTTTACACCCGGGCTACGGGGCTTCATTCTAACTACTTAGCAAAACTGCATGATTTCTTTGCCCTGTAACTTCCCGCTGCTGACAGACAGGTGCCCTCTTCAGCCCAGCCCTGAGGGACAGAACTGGCCAGTGTGCGCTCAACACCTGCCGAGCGTTCCAGGGCCGACCTGTGGGCTCTTGATAGATGCCCATGGGTGCGAGTGGCTTCTCCGGAATGCAGGTGAACACCTACTCAGCAAAAATGCCCTACTTCTTTCCTCCCCGCTCCCACTACCATGACTCGAATTCTATCTTGCAAG